TTTGGTGAGCATTCTGAATTGTGCTTAATCTATGAGCAATCACTAATGTTGTCCTGCCGTTCACTAGATGGTTCGGAGCTTCCTGTACGAGGCGTTCACTGACTGCATCCAGGGCACTTGTTGTCTGTAGTAAGACAGGCGTTAGACATGAGTCAAATGCAAGCAAGCCATGACCAAGAAAGTGAGATATTTTTTTTACATCCTAAAGATATTTCTAGGATGATGCATGGGCGTAGACAGAAACCTTACTTCATCAAGGATCAAGATTGGTGCATTCTTCAGTACAGCTCTGGCAATAGCAATTCTCTGCAGATCAATTAAAATAAACATGAGTCAATCACCTGGAGCTCCTCTGTCTCTCTCTCTCATATTCGCACCCACTTATTACCTGTCTCTGTCCTCCACGCTCGCCAACTAGTGTGTCATAACCTTTTTAACCAACAAAAAGAGTCGATAAAAATTATAAATTGGCGGCAGGAAGAAAATAGAAGGGACTATTCTAGGGACAACTGACCTGTGGAAGTGAAATTATGAAGTCTCTGCCTTTTGTGAGTTTTCATAATCTTTTAATTTTCAGTTTTTGAATATTACTGAAAATATTGTATTTATGATTTTTACATCATATTAGTTAATATGGCTAATAGAGTTAAAAATATGATATTTGTGGCTATAGTTACAATCAAGTCTTTATTCTCTCATCTTGAAAAGCTTGGCTTGTCATTATTCTCTCGTTTTCTTCTTTTTACATAACCCACCTAATTATTTTGTTATATTTAATAACACAGTGAGTTCACTTGCACCATCAGGAAAGAAATGAGGAGACAGACCTTCGAATTTAACGTATTTGCTTCAATGCTAAAAGCTAAAGATCTTACCTCTACCCACAAGCATAGCACAGTTGAAAATATGTCAGGTATAAAGTGCAGGTACCCAGGGAAATCTGATCATCCAGTCCCAAAACGTAGTCCATATCCAAGATGATGGGTCATACTCCGGTACACCAGCAAACCAGATGCCAAGCCCCAAGGATTCAAACTCTCTTTGATGAGCTTGCATGTAACTCACTATATATTGCTCTGGGAATCACAATAAGGGAAAAGCAGATCCAAGAACAAGAAATTCTGGAGAATCGCCCGGTGACAAGATTCTAGTATCGAGGACATAACACTTCTCTTCATTTTTTTTCGTTCTTTTCTTTTTCTCTCCTTATTCTTTTCCTTTTCCTTTACTTTCCTCTCCTTTGCTTTCCTTTCCTTTCTTTCTTTCCTTTTTCTTTCTTTTCTTCTCCTTTCCTTTCTTTCTTTTCCTTTTCTTTACTTTATGTTCTTCTCCTTTCATTTCCTTTCCTTTCTTTTTTTGTTCTTCCTTTTCTTTTTCTTTCATTTCATCTCTTCTTATTTTCTTCTCTTTTCTTTCTTTTCCTTTCCTTTCTTTCCCTTTCTTTCCCTTACTTTTCCTTTCTTTTCTTTTTCTTTCCTTTCCTATGTTCCTTTCTTTTCTTTTCTTTTCTATACCTTTCTTTTCCTTTGCTTTCTTTTCTTTTCTTTGTTTTTCTTTACGTATATGTATGTATGTATGCATGCATGAATGGACGAGTGTACATATGTAAGCATATGTATGTATACATATATAACTTACATACATACATACATAAACACATAAAGATGCATACATACATATATACATACATATGCTTACATATGGCATCTTTATGTGTTTATGTATGTATGTAAGTTACCTGAAAATACGTAGGAATTGTTGAAGTTCAGAATCTCCGGTATATATTTGTGTATGGATGCATATGTATGTATGTATGCATATGTATACATGTTTGCATATATGTATGTGTGGATGGTGTGTATCAATGTATGTACACACAGCATATCTATAGATGTATGCATGTAGGAATATATGTATCTATGTATGTATACATGTATGTATGTATGTATGCATGTGTATGTAGGTAGCTATGTATGCATGTATAGATGTATGTGCATGTATGTAGGTATGCATGCATGTATGTATTTATATGTATGTATGTGTATGTATATATGGATGTATGTACGCATGCCTTAATGGACTTCTGTATGTATGCATCTGTATGTTTACATATGTATGTGTGTATGCATCTGTATGTATTTATTATGTATATGCATTTATCCATTTCAAGATTGCACTACCTCTAGTTGAAGATGGTGATGTTATCTCCATTCTAGCTTCAGTTCTGCACACCCAACTTAATAGAGTCACCTGAAAACTTCTAGTACATTGGAGTAGAATAGACGTCGCTGATTACTTGGGAAAGCCATGAACATTTCCTTTGAGCTTGAAACAATCTCTTTTCAAAGAGAGAGTAATGTTATAGACTCTTTTTAGGAAGACCAAGAACAATTAATAAGACTATAAACCCTTCGATTAATAAAACAAAACAAAAAGCTATGTGTCAGAACCGATCGCCCAAGATCTTAAAGAAACGTTTCTTAGGAAGATCAAGAACAGAAGAAGTTCCTCAAAATCAAAGAAACCGAGAACCTCTGGAAAAAGCAAATCAACGCAGATCTGGCAAGAAAGACGAAAAGGGAAAAGGAAATCAAGCGGAGAGAGACAAAATAGGGTTGTTACCTCACGACGGGTCTTCTCAAGGGCCACGATCTTGCGGGTAGCCTTCTCCATCACCCTGTAAACCTTCCTGTATGTACCCTCGCCAACTTTCTCAAGCTTTTGAAAGCATCCATTGCCGATGTTCCCGTTGGCTTCTCCATTTTTTCTCTCTCTATCTCGACAGAAAAAACTACTCTCTCTCTCTCTCTCTCTATGTATTTATCTTCTTTGGTGTGAGCATATAGCCGTTAAGCGGAGCGTCGTTCATACGCAACGGACCCATGTTTGCCCTTTTTTTTTTTTGAAATTCAAAAACATGGGTCGAACTTTTATTTCCAGAAATCCGCTTGTGTCTACTACGCTCTCGGGCCTTCACTCGGTTTAAGGTCCAAAAAGCAAAGGCTCTTCCAATTACGGCCCAACATCCCACAGCTCCCCCACCACCCACAAAAAACAATTAGCCTACGAACAAAAAAGTTTAAACTAACTAAATAAATCTTAAGCAATTATACATTGCTTGGTAATTTAATTAAATTGAATGCTGCTTGGTCTGAATTGAAGCTATATAATTGCTTAATAAGTATTTAAACTAACTTAAGGTCATATAATTCAAGTAATTGGTTTGGGTTTTGATTAAATTCAAGTTTAGGGGTCATATTTGGTTGGGCCTTAGAATTTTTTAGGCATAATTGGGACTTATTTGGGCCTACTGGGCCTTATGCCATTTAATTAACTAAGGCCATTTTGGTTAATTCATTTTGTGCTTTAGGTCTTGTAAATAATTTAGGCTATTTTTTGGACTATTTATTTCCGATTTTAGCTGTTTGGGACAATTTAATATATAAACCCTCTTTGAACAACAAATATTTTATTTTTATCAAGTGTTTTTGAGAACTAACTCCTTATTTTTATAATTAACACTTTATCCAAATGTTTAATAGTCTCTTTTTAGAATTTTATCTTTTAAACACCCTACTGCTTTATGCACATTTTCCTAACACTATTCCAAACACGCTCCACTTTACTTTCATTTTATTAATTCTTTCAATTTTGTGCCTTATCGATCGGTCAGCTATGTAAATATCTTAGTTATTATCTTGAGCCCAGTTGGAAAATCGGATATAACATTTTGGTTACAAAAATATTGAAAAATTAAATGAATTATAAATGACAAGCATGGAAAAAAATTGTTATCAACCCAAGTGCACCTCAATTTACTTATTTTGTGCTTGCATGTGCAAAAATAAATTTTTAATTTTATATGGGTTTTAGATTTAGGAAACTTAAAGTAGAATCTCGGGCCTTGGTCTTGTCGAAATGACATACTCAAGTCCAGAGATTCATTGTTGTTCAGTTAAACTAAAAAGCAGGCGGCCGAAAGAACTGGTGCCCAAAGGGTTTTTCTCGAGGTGTTGCACGTTGCAGATCGCAAATGAATTGGAACTCCTGCTTCTTTACCTACTAATTTGATTTAATAACATGCAGTAGAAATGGAGGAATTCGTTATAACAATTTGAACTAGCTTTCTATTTATTGAACTTGCTGTCCTTTTTGGTAATGTTGAAGCAGATAATCTTTTCAAAACAGTCAAATACTGGCCTATGTGTTAGGTTGAACAAAGGCCATACTGTAACCAAGAAGGAATTGGCTCCTCGCAGAGTAAGTTGCTTCTATGCCTTTGAGAAATTTCGTAGAATACTTATGTTTCTTAGTTCTATTTGTTGTGGATGTATTTTCCTTATTTTTATTTTAAGCATTTGATTTTTATCTAGAGATTTATGCTACAATTCTGAATAATGCAATTCTTACTTTTTTCTGCAACAAATTTTAAACCTTAAACCATGAAAATTAGTGACTACAATATCTCCTTTTTTTAGGAATTTGGAAATTCAAAAAGCTTCATTTTACAATTTTTTGACTTGTTCTAACTTTTTTATTCTATCCTAATATTAATGCCAACTTGATGTAGTCACTATTCGGCAATAAGTAAAACGTTGCTGAATTAACTTTTCTTTTTTGTATTTGAATTGGATCACTAGATGAAGAACGAGAATAAGAGTTGAAGGCGGCAAGGATGACTATCAAATTCAAATCATTCAAAAGCAAGCCTTTGAGTGCCAACAAGTGAAGCATACAGACCCTTCATAGCTAGCAAATCAAAATGGGTACCCAGTTCAACGATCCTTCCATCAGAGCAAACCGCAATTTGGTGAGCATTCTGAACTGTGCTTAATCTATGAGCAATCACTAATGTTGTCCTGCCGTTCACTAGATGGTTCAGAGCTTCCTGTACGAGGCGTTCACTGACTGCATCCAGGGCACTTGTTGCCTGTAGTAAGACAGGCGTTAGACATGAGTCAAATGCAAGCAAGCCATGACCAAGAAAGTGAGATATTTTTTTTACATCCTAAAGATATTTCTAGGATGATGCATGGGCGTAGACAATCATACTGAAACCTTACTTCATCAAGGATCAAGATTGGTGCATTCTTCAGTAGAGCTCTGGCAATAGCAATTCTCTGCAGATCAATTAAACAT